TCATACCTTCTCCTAGGCATTGAACTATTTCTCGCTTTTCGGCAGCAGAGAGATCCTTCTTCTTCCCCATATTGCTGGAAAATGGTGGTCTGCTTAATAATGTGGAACATCCATTCTTAAGTAGTTTTCCCTTTAATTGGACTCACCTGCAAACTAATTGGCACAGGTGTCTGAGATTGATTGGAGTGATTGGAAGAGCTCTGACACACATTCCCATCCATGTGTTTAAACTGACAGACAAAAAAATGACCTTTATGACCTTTAAACACAATTTGCATAATAATGTGGAACGCAGTGTATATCGTGTATCTGTCATAAAAACATCATAAAAACGTGCACTGTTTAGCTCTTGTGATATTTTCGGTATTTCACCCACCTTTACTGTTTTCTGGTTATGTTTGCATTGTCCAGCTGTTATAGGTCTCTCTGTGATAATGTAGTTTACTTTATTCCTAATTTGGCATTTTTACAATTTTATTTCAGAGCTTAAAAATGTTCCCAGAGATGTATTCGCAGTCGACCCTGCACAAAGTCACAACGCTGAGGCCGTCTACAGATGCAGAAAGTGCAGGTGAAATCTGCATCTTAATCACATTTCACTTCCCTCTCCATCTCCATCTTCACAGCTTTCATCTGAAGTGTGTGTCTGTGTTTTCCTTTCCAGACGCACGCTGTTCCGCCATTCCAGCATCCTCAGTCACTGTGTAGGCAGCGGAGCGTCTGCTTTCTCCCATAAGAGGCCGAGTGGAGGACGACCTGCGGGAGATCAGAGCCAGTGCACGTCGTACTTCATAGAGCCAGTGCAGTGGATGGAGGAGGCGCTGCTCGGGGTCATGGATGGACAGGTAAAATGCTGCTTACAATCACTCTCTGATTATTAATAGTTAATAGTTAAATCACATCATGGCAAATGTCATACACGGTCATAAGGTGTCAAGTTTATGTGATCTTGGTTTATTAATTACTAGATTTGTATAACTGTATAATTATTGATACTATAAAGTAAACACTATTACTATCACTACATACTAATGCTACTAATTAAAATACCATTTTTAGTGATTACATTTTCTAAATTAGCATAATGTAAGAAAATATAACAATAAATTAAATAAATAAAAGAAATGCTTTATAACCTACTTAATAAAAAAAGTTTTATAGGTCAGAGTAGGTAAATAAATAAGGTTTAATTAAATAAATAAATAAAACATATATAAAGAAAATACACCAAACATCCAATTTTTCAAAATAGTTTTTGCATATTTAATTAATTAAAAATTAAAATAACATAATTAAAATATTATTTTTTATTAGTATAACCTTTTTGTTATGATGATGATGATGATGATGATGATTAATTTTATTATTATTATAATTATTATTATTATTAGCAGCATTCTGTAACACTACTCTTGAACCCTGCATCAGAAGGCTGACATAAGCATGTCATAAATGTGTCATTAAAGATGGTGTAATGAGCTGTCATGGCATCTTATGTCCTGTTGTACAGCAGCCTTGTGGCTTTATGACAGCTAACACTTGGTATGTAGTAAAGTGTGTGATGAATGCTGTCTTGCAGCTCCTGTGTCCTAAGTGCAGCTCTAAGCTGGGTTCGTTTAACTGGTATGGAGAGCAGTGTTCATGTGGCCGCTGGGTGACACCTGCCTTCCAGATGCACAAGAACAGAGTGGACGAAATCAAACACATCAACATAGCAGCACTTAAATGACACCAGCAAACGGTGAATAAGACAAATAAAGACATATATTGTTTAATCATTTTGCTTTATCTGTTATAAAAATCTTCAGACTGGAATATATTTCATAGCTTTTCATAGCTGTTGTAATGGAAAGTAACCTGTGAAGGATCACATTTTTTTGGAAATTAAACGTGATAGACTTTTGAACACAGGTCACAGGATTATACAGGCCAGTATTTACTTTCACACTTCATCCAGTAGATGGCGCCACATTTACACTGTCCTCATGTCCTCCAGTTCAGTCCTGGGCAAATGTACACAGTTACGCCTCGCTACAGAACCAGAAGTCCAGGGGGGAGGAGTCGGACCTGATCCAGCTCCTCCTATCTGGGCGGAGTTGAACCAAAACACTAGAAAGGCTTGATATAATGTTCATAAAGTTGTTTTGTTTAATACTGAAGCAATTATGCAGATAATACTGGAACAAGTATGATCCATTTATCCTTGTAGTGATGTAAATTAAAATTAGGAATGTAAACAAAGTATAGTAAATGGCAGAGACACCATGTAAAGGACTATAACAAACAGCAAAAGTGTGAAGAAACAAAAGTGTTAATTTCTAAAAGTACAAACTGAAGTGGAGAAGAGGAAGAGGAATATTTTAGCACAAGGAAAGCAGAACATTTCTGGTCTGCTGCGTATCATGCTGTAGCTTGAGCAAAAACAAAATGTTCACATTTTCCCTCTTATCCGAAATGGAGATGATTAGCCAAGACATGTTTGGTGTCTGAAGTTTACTGAGGCTATGAGGCTAATGCAGCTAACAAGAAAGGCGGGCTTATAGCTTCCAGTTTAGCATTATGTAGCTGTAAATCATCACAAATTCACCTCAGACTGAGTCGAGTTGTTCAGTATATCAAACAGAAGTGTTTATGTGGTTTCTGGCACTCTACGTACACAGTTATTGGTTAAAAAAAATTATACTGCAGAGCTAAAAACAGTTGTGGTAGCCATGTTGAAGTTGAAATCACTTTTTTTTTTCAGCACTTAGTTTGGGGTCAGTCCACTCAAACTTTCAAACATTAAGGTATGATGTGTCCTGCTAGAAGTGGTTCATATGATAATATAATTCCACTTTGTTTTGTATTTTTAATGTCAACTGATCTTGTTAAACTGTACAAATGTTCTGCATACGTACAAATTATACTACTGCATCAAATGACTGATTCTGATTGTCTATATATGGGATGGGCGTGTGTGTGTGTGTGTGTGATTGAACTTGTAGTATACGCTTGAAGATTAACTTCTGTGTTTTGTATCGAGTTGTTTTGCGTAACTACTACCAAACAGATGGACATGAAAACCTTTTTTTCTGATTCTGGGTCAGTTTGGTGTCTTACTCTGCAGTAGAACCTGATTTAGGATCAGTATGTCCTCAGTGTTGACTGTAGGTGCAGTAAATGACAGTGTTGCTGTGTTTAAGCATCTCTCCTCAGCCTCTGTAGACCTGTTGAGGTGTAAGAGCGTGTTAAAGCGTGTATAATTACAGAGTAGAGTTCTGTCTGTTTGAACAGGTGTGTGTAACTGACTAATCCTTAGCAGACGCTGAGGCTTTATTCCAGGTTGTGTCTAAATAACACTTTAATAGTACTGTAGATATGTTTTTGCACCCTTTAGTGCCTGGTTTAAAACATGTCATGAACATATGCAAATAAAAACGTGTAACTACTGTACAAAGGGAGACAGGTGACATTTCAAGATACCGTAGAAGTGTCT